TAAGCTGGGGCCCCAGGGAGACCCTGTCTTAAAAAAAAAAAAAATAGACTGGTCTTTCACAAGCTTAAAAAAATTACAGAATGACTTCCAGTTTATAATTGATCTTTATTTAACATTTAACTTTGTACTTACTGGTAAATGACTGAGTATCTGGCAAGTGAGTGAGCATATTACAGCTGAAAAAATTATAAGGTGGCAAATAATAACAAACTAAAACGCATCTCCATGTCTCGCTTAGAATTAAATGAGCAGAAATATGCTTGTCATGAGGAAGAGCCTCTGTGAATGTGGGAAGAGCACTGTGTGTGCGTGCGGAGAACACTGTGTGTGCGTGAGGACAGCACTGTGTGTGAGGACAGCACTGTGTGTGTGAGGACAGCACCTTGTGTGTGTGTGAGGACAGCACTGTGTGTGTGTGTGAGGAGAGCACTCTATGTGTGTATGTGTGTGTGGACAGCACTGTGTGTGTGTGAGGACAGCACTGTGTGTGTGTGTGTGTGTGAGAGGAGAGCACTAAGCTGGGGCCCCAGGGAGACCCTGTCTTAAAAAAAAAAAAAATAGACTGGTCTTTCACAAGCTTAAAAAAATTACAGAATGACTTCCAGTTTATAATTGATCTTTATTTAACATTTAACTTTGTACTTACTGGTAAATGACTGAGTATCTGGCAAGTGAGTGAGCATATTACAGCTGAAAAAATTATAAGGTGGCAAATAATAACAAACTAAAACGCATCTCCACGTCTCGCTTAGAATTAAATGAGCAGAAATATGCTTGTCATGAGGAAGAGCCTCTGTGTATGTGGGAAGAGCACTGTGTGTGCGTGAGGACAGCACTGTGTGTGAGGACAGCACTGTGTGTGTGTGAGGACAGCACCTTGTGTGTGTGTGAGGACAGCACTGTGTGTGTGAGAGGAGAACACTCTGTGTATGTGTGTGTGTGTGTGTGTGTGTGAGGACAGCACTGGGGAGTCTGTTTTCTCTCTCCACCATGTAAATCCTGGGGATTGAATTCAGTGTGTGTGTGTGTGTGTGTGTGTGTGTGTGTGTGAGGAGAGCACTCTATGTGTGTGTGGATAGCACTGTGTGTCTGTGAGGAGAACACTGTGTGTGTGTGAGGACAGCACTGTGTGTGTGTGTGTGAGAGGAGAGCACTGTGTATATGGGGACAGCACTGTCTGTATGCCAAGGACCAGATGTAAAGTGGCCCTCACCGCAGAATGCCTCTTGGTTTATCAAAAAAGTGTTGTCAATAATCATGTTCATAGTTAGAAACTTATAATCCTCATCAATTTACCATGTGATCTATTTACTCAGAAGTTGTCTAAAATGTAAAGCAGAAAAAAAATTCCATAGCACCTTTTTCAGAGCAACACTTACTAGGAATAGTAGTGACCACTTCTCCAACCTGTAATCTGTACAGAATTGTGGTTTTTCCAGCACCATCTAATCCCAAAATTAAAATTCTCATTTCCCTGGTTCCAAAGAGACTGGAAAAAATACTTGAAAAAAAGCCACCTACAACAAAATCAAAACGGAAATGTATTTAAGGTTATGTTTTGAACTGGGTCCACAAAACATGTAATTTTGTCTTTTGCAGGCTATTTGCCAAGTTAAACAATAATCTCTTTTCCCAGACACATGGGTAGATAACTCTGCTTTCAATGAAATACATTATTCAACAGCAAAGTAGTAGTAAGTGATTTTACCAGGTCCTGAATACTGTGTCAAGCAGGCAGCAGATGCATAAATAATTAGCCACAAAGCCACTGCCTCAAGAGTCCAGCTCATTTTCCAGTCAGTGAAACAAGAATACTTTGGCCTGGTCTCCTGATTACCCCTAAATACGGAAGCTCCAGTCACAAGAACAGCGACAGTGGCATCCTCAAACAGGAGAGAGGCTGCACCAGCAGAAATCTGCAGACAAGCCCTCCAGTGAGCACATAACTATCACAAGGATCTAAGGTGTCCATACAAGCCAAAATAACAAAAACGATTTTGTGTTCTTTTTCTAATAACAGCTGTTTTGTTTTTTTTTTAAAGTAGAAAACTTATTTTTAAAAGTAAAGCTCATCCAAAACCTTATGAAATATTTCCAGGAAGCTTTCTGTATCCAACCAAGTACGGTGCAATGTAAAAATACCTGTGACAGGACACCTTCCCGATCAAGTCACTAAAAATCAGATTACCAATAGAAGGCGAGAAAGGGGAGTGGTGGGGGTTATGCAGGAGAATATGCTCAACATACAATAGATACGTACACGTACACACACACACGGGGAAGGGAGGAGAAGGAAAGAGTCGCAAAACAAACACACCAGTTAGAGAACCTCAGGAAAGTGAGAGTGGGTGTGACTTGCCAAAGTCCTTTCTACCGTTTACAGGTGGGAAAGCGGCGGAAGAACAAAACCAAACGCTGCAGAATTGGGCAGACCTTTGATTCTAGGGAGCAGGAACTGTACACTAGACAGACAAGGGCGGGGAGGGACGCAAAGAAGCCGAAGAATTCGCAATTCCCTGTGGGCCAAGCTGCACCAAGGCATCAGCTGATGCCCTACGAGGCCGTCCGCTTCCCACACCAGGACCCGGCGGCCCGGATCCACAGCTCAGTCCCCGATCCCCCGCCGCCGCCCCACCGTCTGCTCCTTCGAGCGAGCAGAGCCCACGGCGACCCGCCCTCTGGTTTCTCACGGTGACTCAGTCCCGACCCGGAGCAGAGAAAAGCATCCCCGCGGAGTCGGCGCCTCGGTTGTCCCGCTCCGGCCGCCCCGCAAGCAGAGGTGGGGCCGCAGTGAAGGGAAGGGGCCGGGCCCGAGCGCGCCGCCACCCCGCAGGTGCCAAGGGCCGGAGCAGGACGGCAGGGTCCCCGGCAGGTGAACGGCCGGAGCTCGCAGTCGGCGGCCGCAGCCCCCGCCCGGCCCGGCCCGGCCGCTCTCCGCCGGCCTCAGCCGCCCTTCCCGCACTCCTCACCCATGGTGAACAGCCACGGTGCCCTCGCCGATCCTCACACACAGGCCGGGACCCGGCAGCGACTCCTACTCCAGCCTGGGCGCCGCCACCTCCACTCGCCTGGGCCCCCGGCAAGGAGGCAGCCTCCTCTCCAGTCGGGTCAGCCAGCAACTTCCACGTAGTACACCCGGCGGGGGCGGGAGCAGGAGCGAGCTGCCACTGCGACTGCGCGCCGGGCACGGCTGTCTGTGCGTCCGCGTCCGCGCTTTCGACGCAAAACCCCAGCCCGCTGGATGTAGCTGAGGTGGACGCTACAGCAACGGCAAAAAAGAAAAAAAAATTCAAAGATCAGAAATATCTCCTGATTCTTCTGTTTTTGACACAAAGACACTCTCAGTTATTGAAATTAGAATTTTCTTGTTAAATTCTGACACTAAATCATAATGGCGAATCAGCTGACACAAAAAAAAGAGTAAGAGCTTGAAGCGGCCAGTAGGATGCTGGTTCAGGTTGCAGCATCTCTGGAGTTTTTGATGCGGGAGCGGTCTGCGGGGGCAGTCCACTTCTCCCCAAAGGTTTTCCCGCAGGAGGAGCCAAGGTTACGTAATAATAATGAGACACCTCAGGGTGGCCGCTGCGCGCCTATCCGGCTGGCATTTGAGTGCCTCGGCGGTGACCCCCCTGACCACCCTGTGCATCCCCGACGGCTGCACACTTACTGCCTCCGGGTACTTGGGTTAGAGGTTACGTAGGTTTTGACAGTGAAAAGGTTGAGTGTTGCTTAAAATTCCTAAAAAGCGCTCACTGCTACCATAGTCGCTCCGAGGCCCGGATGCGTTCAAGGTTCAGTTCCGCTCATAACCCCACCGCTATAGCCGAGGAAGGCTTAGATGCTGGAGCTGAAATGGACCTCAATACTGCTTTAGAAGAGGTGCTGAAGACCGCCCTCATGCATGATGGCCTAGCACGTGGAATTCAAGAAGCTGCCACAGCTTTAGGCAAGCACCAAGACCATCTTTGTGTGCTGGCATCCAAATGTAATAAGCCTGTGTCAAGTTGGTGGAGTCCCTTTGTACTGAGCACCAAATCAACCTAATTAAGGTTAATGACCACAAGAAACTAGGGGAATGGGTAGGCCTCCGCAAAACTGGTCCAGAGGAGAAACCCCGTAAAGTGGTTGGCTGTAGCTGTATAGTGGTTAAGGACTATGTCAGAGAATCTCAGGCGAACAAAGAATACTTTAAATGCAAGACATGAACAAATAAAGAATTTGGCTCATTTTCTTAAAAAAAAAAATCCTAAAAACATAGAAAAGCAGAACTATCTCAAACTCCCAAGTTTTCACCAGAAATAACAGCTAACAGTTTTTCAAGGTTTTCTTCCAAATGTAAACCTTGCATAGTGTATTTTTTGTTTGTAATGGAAATTTTCATGTTTTGTGATTTACAAACTACTTAAGAATTTTTCTAGCCTTATTGAGGTATAATTGACAAGACTGAGTATATGATTCTGTGTGGCATTTTGATATGTACACATATTGTGAAATGATTACCATAAGCTTATCCAACCCCTCACATAGTTTGTGTGTGGTGAGAGCATTAAAGATCTACTCTCTCTCGGGTTGGAGAGATGGCCAGTGGTTAAGAGCACTGACTGCTCTTGCAGAGGACCTGGGTTCGATTCCCAGCACCCACATGGTGGCTAACAACTGTCCATAATTCCAGTTCTGGGGAATCTGGCACCCTTTACTGACTTCCATGGGCATTGCATGACATGGGCACACTTACAGACATGCCGGCAATACACTCAAACACATAAAAATAAAAGTTTCAAAAATTACTCTCTTGGGGTTGGAGAGGTGGCTCAGCGGTTAAGAACACTGGCTGTTCTTACAGAAGACCCGGGTTCAAATCCCAGTACCCACATGGCAACTAACACGTGTTCATAACTCTAGTTCCAAGGGGTCTAATGGCCTCTTCTGTCCTACTCGAGTATGGGTGCACTTACATACATACAGGCAATACATGAATACACATAATTTTTTAATATTTTTTTTAAAAGCTGGATGTGGTAGCACACACCTTTAATCCCAGCTCTCAAGAGGCAGAGGCAGGTGCGCTACAAGAAGACCCTGTCTCAAAAAAATTACTCTCAGCAGTTTTCAATCATGCAACATATTGTTATGAAATACAGTTGTTATATTGTTACAATAAGTCTGCAGGCTTTATCCACTCTATTCCAAAGAAATTTCTACCCTTTTACCTATATCGCTCCATCCCAGCCCACCTATCCCCTGACAGTCACTGTTCTGCCCTCTGGTTCTGACTTCCTCTGTAGATTCCACTGATGAAGTGTGTGACTTTAGGTTTTTCTGGTGGGTTTGTGTGTGTGTGTGTGTGTATGTGTGTGTGTGTCTTTTTAAGACAGGGTCTCCTTGTATCCCCAGCTGGCCTGGAACTCACTACATAAACCAGGCTGACCTTGAGCTCACAGAGATTCACCTGCCTCTGCCTCCTGAGTGATGGGATTAAAGGCATGGGCCACAACACCCAGCTAAGTGTGTGATTTTTTTTTTTGGTCTTTTTGAGACAGGGTCTCCCTGTAGCCCCAGCTGTCCTGGAACTCACTCTGTAGACCAGGCTGGCCTTGAACTCACAGAGATGCGCCTGCTTCTGCCTCCTGAGTGCTGGGTTTAAAGGCGTGCGCCACCATGCCCGGCAAGTGTGTGATTTTTGTACTGGACTTATTTCACTTAGTATAACAACTTCCAACTTCATCCATATTGTTATAAATGAAATAATTTTCTTCTTTAGGCTGACTAATTTGTTGTGTATATGTAAGTATGTGTATATGTGCATATATATCACATTTCGTTTTCTATTTTAATCTGTTCACTTGGGTTGATTTTGTGTCTTTTTAGATTTATTTTAATCACTTTTAATTGTAAGTATGTGTGTGTATGGCTGTGGGTATGTGCATGTGAGGGCTGGTGTTCTCAGAGGCCAGGAGCTTTGAATCTGCCTGGAGCTGGAGTTAACAGGCATGAGCCACCAGACATGAGTACTGGGAAATGAACTCAGGTCCTCTGCAAGAGTAGTAATCACTGCTAACTGGTGAGCCATGTCTCCAGCCCCCAATGATTTTGTATATTGACTGTCATTGAATAATAATGCAATGAATGAACATGGGATGTTCACTACAGGAACAATGAATGTACAGGTTTCTCTTTGACATACTGATTTCATTTTCTTTGGGTATATACTCCAAAGTGGATACCATAGTCATTCCATTGTTAGTATTTTGAGGACCCCCCCATACTCTTTCTCATAATGACTTTACTAATTTACACTCCTACCAAGAATGTCTATTTTATTTAACAGATGTTCGGTTGCATTTGCCTGTTGCCCTCACTGTCACCCAAAGCCATGGGTTCACAGAAGTATTCCTTGTGAGAAAAAGTTGATGGAGAAGCAGAAAGTGAATCTTTACCTGAACACCTGTTATGGAGAATGAGCCACAGTAGCAGTACATTCAGTTTTGAGTGGGTTTACTAAACATGCAAAAGTAAAAGAATGGAGAGCAAGTAGTGATAGAAGCAGCAGATAAAACATCAGCAAACCCCGCCCACAACATCCATCAGAGATGCTGGAGCAGCCCAGGTGAGAGAGCAGATGAAAGGTAGCATCATCAAATCAGGGGCTTCCAAACATCCAATAGGGTCAAGTAGTGCCCACAGAGGACAGAAGAGGGCGTTGGATCCCCTGGAACTGAAGTTATAGATGGTTATGAGCCCCCATGTGGGTGCAGGGATTCAAACTCAGGTCTTCTGCAAGAACAGCCAGTGAGTGCCCTTAACCACTGAGCAATCTCTCTGGCCCTTATAGGCAATTTTTTGAACTTTATTTTTCAAAACTTCCACAATAAAGAGTAATCTTTGAGGAAGTAGAATTGTACCATCATGCTAGCAACTGGAACTTAGACTGGAAGCTTTGAAATTTTGTTCTTGAGATAACCACATAGAATTGACTTCTTTAAAGTGTTCACTCACTCAAATGTCATATTTTAAATTGCCACAGGTACCGCTTCCCCTTACTCTGATTTTTTTTGTTTTGTTTATTTGTTTGAGACAGGGCCTCCTTGTAGCCCCAGCTGACCCAGAACTCACTCTGTAGACCAGGCTGGCCTTGAACTCACAGAGATCTGCCTGCCTCTCCTGTATTGGGACTAAAGGCATGCCCAGATTACTCTGATTTTTAATACAGATTCTAATAAAAAATATAATTTGCTCACTAATTATGCTCACTTTCATTGTCTAACATTCAGTAAAATATAAACTATATGTTCATTTGTTATTTTGTTATAACACAAAAGCACTAAATATTTGTTAAATTATAAATAACTTTTTGAGGCCAATGCAATAAACAGCTGAATTTTTTTTTTTTTTTTTTTTTTTTTTTTTTTTTTTTTTTGGGGGTTTTGAGACGGGTCTCTCTGTATCCCCAGCTGTCCTGGAACTCACTATGTAGACCAGGCTGGTCTCCAATGCACAAAGATCCACCTGCCTCTGCCTCCCAAGTGCTGGGATTAAAGGCATGTGCCACCACGCCTGGCAAATAGCTGAATTATTAAGTGTTATTCTGCAAAGTTATTAAGTTTGTTTCTTAACAATAGTCACGGATAAACCTAATTTGATCCTGAAGGTTGAACTGTCAATGAAGTTGTCCAATTTCAAGAGAAGCCACCAGGTGGTGGTGTTGGTTTAAACTAATTGTTACTAGCTTTCTCAGTTGGTCAATTTATTAGAAACTAAATGGACAAATTATTGAGACAGAGTGTTTATAGCCCAGGCTGGCCTTGAACCTGTGATCCTCTTGCTTTGCAAATGCTGGAATGACAGGCATGTGCCACTTGCTGCATTTCAGAGTGAACAATTTCATCGGGTTTTTTTTTTTGTTAGTTTGTTTTTGTTTTTTCCCCAGTGTCTCATTTTGTAGCCCAGGCTGACTAGAACTCACTCCTATAGCTCAGACGGGCCTCAAACTCCTGAGGATCCTTCTACCTCAGCCTCCTAAGTTGTGGGGTTATAGGTATGAGCCACTACACCCAGCCAGTTTAACCTTTTTAAAAAAAAATATTTTATTGCTGGTCATGGTAGTCATGCCTTTAATCACAGCACTCAGAAGGCGAAGGAGGTGAATCTCTGTGAGTTC